CACCTGATAATATTCTGAAGATACCAGATTCTGCCTGATCTTGGAAGCTAAGCAGAGTCAGACCTGGTCAGTACTTAGACTGGGAACCACCAAGGAATATCAGATGCTGTATTTCAGAGGAAGGCAATGGCAAATTACCACTGGGTGTCACTTACCTAAGAAAACCCTACTGATGCTCAAAAAAGCTGCCGTAGTTCACAACAGGCAAAAACAGTGTTGTGGATCCAGGCATTTTAACAGATTATATTAACTGAGAATATTTTAGTTCATTTTGAGATTTTGATCATGTACTTTCATGTTTAGAATTCTTGTTTTATGCTGCACATTGCTCTGAAATCTGATCTGGTGAAGGGCAGTATTATATACAATATATATATATATATATATATATATATATATATATATATATATATATATATATATATATATATATATATATATATATCCAAGTGCGCGCACACCTCAAACAGTAAGCACTGCACAATGTTTGCATTAAAAACTACAAACCCTCCCCACAGGCTTAGAAACTGAGAACCAGTTGCACAATGATCAACCAAAGCCTGGCTTTTTAAATGTCACTTACAGGGGAAGAAGTGTGATTTTGAGCAGATGCCTGGTCTGGGAAACAGGGAGACTATAACCTTTTGCTGCCATCACCTTTTGCGCTGTGGTCTTGATCCAGATCAGAAAGCATCCACATGCATGCATGCACAACAGAGAAACATATCTTTTGCATTCTCTAAAAGGCTCCACTCCAAAGAATAACACTTCTCTTTGCTGCAAACAACAAAGAGGGAAAAATGGCTTAAGCCCCCTACTCTCCATAGCACTAAGTCAGACTGAGAGGCTTACACTTACACAATTGCCAAATGTTGCCTTGTTGGGATCCAGTCCACTGTCCCACCAGCACTTACTTCCTATGGATGCCTTCAGCATATTGTTATATTCATCTGTCTTTCACTTTGCAAGCTCTGCAAGGAATGAAAGGTCCTCCCTCCATCTTAACTGTTCCCACCCTGGCCTCAGAGGGAGAGAAGAGGCAGGCACAGCTCCATGATGCCTAGCACCAGAAGCAGATGAAAGGCCCTCCCTCCATCTTAACTGCTTCCATCCTGCCCTTGGAGGGAAAGAACAACAGGCAGTATCTGCTGGACTTGGTCCACTTCCTCAGTGCCATTCCCTTCTCCTTTTCTCTCGTCTGTTTAGATTGTAAGCCTGAGGGCAGGTAACTGTCCAATTAACAATCTGTACATGAAGAACAGGGTATAAACAAACAAACCACTGAGGTGCAGAGAACATACACTTGTCTGCCCAGGCATTCCCTTAATTGTTAACTTTGTCCATTACCCTGGTGCTCTCTTTCAGAACTGAGTTTAGTTCCAGGCCTCCCCAGGAGTTCACTGCGATGAACACTGAACCACTGAAACTTCTATAAGATAAGTACTGTTGCTGGTAAATGATAAAGCAGTGAAGCATTTCAGGCCTTTCATTGATGGGTCATAGAATCATAGAGTTGGAAGAGACCACAAGGGCCATCCAGTCCAGCCCCCTGCCATGCAGGAACTCAAAATCAAAGCATCCTTGACAGATGACCATCCAGCCTCTGTTTAAAGACCTCCAAAGAAGGAACTCCACAACACTCCAAGACAAGGTATTCCACTGTCAAACAGCTCTTACTGTCAGAAGTTCTTTCTGAAGTCCAAAACTTCTGACGGACCAAAGTTTGGGAAACACTGCGTAGTGCTTCACCAAACTACAAATCTCAGCATTCCATAGGATGCATGACAGTTACAGTGCTATATTTCTGTAATATGAAAGGGGGAAGTTTGGTATCCTTGCTCAAATGCCAATAGTGCTTGCCAACCCTGGCAGAATGGACACAGACCTAGGGCCTGGCCTGAACAACTCATTTTGAAATACAACTGCATCAAAGTGGAGAGGCAGGGCAGCTGTTAGCAAGATGGCAGTGGGTCA